TAGAGAAGGACCTCATCTTGACGATGGATATAACCATAATCATGATGGTATGAATAATTGTATTATTCCTGTAACTAGGTAAATACCCCGTACAAAAAAGCACGCATATCCATTACAGCAATTGTATGGACGGAAAAAAAAGTACGCCGCGGTGGAAAAAGAAACGAAAATTTGTACGGAGTACCGCCGAATAATAATAACAGTTTAAATAAAAATAAAAATAAAAAATCGAATAGAAATACTCGCATTTGGATACTTACTGAGTCTTCCGAAAAGAGCCGAAGAAAGCCCCTCCAACCATACCGAGTATATACCACGGAGTAGTTATCCCAAATAATATCAATTCTCTGTTTATTCCCATCCGTCGTCCAGGTTCCAGATCGATATAATGTACCCACCTGGTATCCGCACTTCGTACCTTCTTCCTCCCACCCCTCCCTCCGACCACTAAAGTAGGCACCTAGGTACTTAGGTAGGCGGAAGTAAGGGTCAAGAACTTATGTAGGTAGGTACTCTGTACTTTCCCACCCACATACCTACAACTACCAAAGGGGGGGGATTAAAATAAAATAATATAAGACGGGAGCAAAAAAGACAAGGCAACCTAGCGTAACCGAAGCCGATCTAACCTGACAGCGTCCCCCGAAATCTCTAGATCCCCATCGAATAATAACCTGCGGTGCTCGCTCCGGCTAATGAATCCACCAACAACGGACGCTATTGTTCGTAGTTGCCACCGTCTCGACTTCAGTAAGTATTTCAAGTAACTTTACTTACCTAGTACGGAGTATGGAGTACGATGGACGGGATTTTATACACGTATGTAAATGGGAGATGAAAGTTGGTAAATTGATTTGAAGAAGCTGTATTTGCAAAGGATGATTTTTTTATTACTCAGAGAAAATATCGTTAGCAGTTAGGGAAAAGCAAAGAAATAAGAGAAATAAAGAAGAGGAGAAAAATATAGTAATTCTCCTCCACTTCTTAACTGCACCGCACCTTTTACTACCTACGAGTACGGAGTACAGTCCGTACACCATGCTCAATGTAGACTGTACCTAAGGAGTAGACCCTTCCAAGTCCATAGTCCAAACCCACAAAAACATCCACTAGAGGAAACTAAACGGCAAGGATCGAGAGAGGGGAAAAAAAGGACCAGAAGGATCAAGAGGAGGATCTACCTTCCCTTCCTCGTGTGGCCGTGAGCAGGAAAAAAAAATAAAATAAAAAATGGAAAAGCCGCCCCAAAAATCCATCTCCATTCCTCGTTTGACGTTGACGTGTTGGTCAACCTAACCTAGGATCAACGTCCTACTTGTCTGTCCCTAGATTCCCTAGTGTCCTAGAGCTCCTGGTCCTACGGGCCAAGTTACCAGTCACAGTCACTAATTCTGTAACTACTAAGTACTAACTTCCCAGTGCTGTATGACATTGCCAGACCCAGCGCCATGGGTCCGCCGGATGGCCGAATCGATGTGGCTGCAGTTCTAGTTCCCTTTGTTCCCTTTGTCCATTAGGATTACGGTGTGGTCTTACGGAGGGAACTCTCGCTCTTTGGTCTCTCTCCCTGTCTCGTGCGAGGGGCCGCCGACAGTTGGAGCGGCTCGTCCATTGGTAAAGAAGACCCCCCCCCCCCCCCCCCCTGGTCCTTGTCCTTGTCCCTCTTGTCGGGTTCTCCTTTCTGTCTTCCTGTCTGCGACTGGTTGAGGAGTTCATGGGTCTTCCGTGTCGGATCCTGATCACAGAAAAACGAAAGCAATTGATAAATTATTCCGTAAGAAAAAAAAAAGAAAAAGAAAGTGAGAGGGAGGAAAGGTGGAGACTCAAGCCTCCTCTCCGAGAGGATACCAAGATACCCTGCGGATTACGTCGGCCAGATGGATCTACGAGACAGCGGGAAGGGGAAAAAAGCCTGTCAGTCTTTGTCCTCCACCTGGCAACAGGAATGTGTCAGTTTACCTGTCATTTTTTGATCGAAGAAAGTATTGGACTAAGTGACGATCTCCCGCTTTATCCTCCCTGTGTCAGGTATCTATCCGTCAGGGAGCAAGTTCGTGAAAGGACAAGAAAAATTAAAAAAAAAAAAAAAAAAACTAAAAAGAATAAAAAGTGACACAAGTGACTATAAGCATGGTGGTCGTACAAAACGAACATGTCACACTATCACCACGGTGCGATTCCAAAAAGGGCAAGGCAAGATTATGTATTACATCCCTGTGAATAACCTATGTGTGAAAGCCTTCTAGAATCACAAGACTCCCGAAATGAGCTGGTAGGGAAATAAAAAGAAAAAATCAACCGGGTGGCAAGAGAATGTCAGCTACTGCAATGTAGCGTTGATCCTACGCCGTTTCATGCGCAACAAAACCACCGTGGCCGGTTGGATGGACGGTTTACAAGGGCGCAACGCAAGGATGAAAGATGTTAAGTATCATGCGTGATCCTGATCCAGCCGGATAGACACATGCTGAGGGCCAGCCTGCAACCGGATTCTCTACTCCGTAGGGCCTCGCATTTGACGCCCCTCATACACCGGAACATAACCCCTGAAAGCCGTTTAGGTATTCATGCGTGATACAGTATGATTGGTCTGGCCTTCAAAAATCCGCATAACTAGTCGGGGCCACAATGACCAACCAAAACGATGAAGTGCTCAGGACTTCAGATACCCCCCTTCGGGGAAAGTGGAACGGCTAGATGGAATTTCTTTGTCTGTGGACATGCCGCAGTTCCCTGTGTGCCGTGCGTGGCTTGCCTATTTCTTAGCAGGGCTGGACGTTGCCTGTCTGGCTTGTTCACCGGCCGTAGCAGCCGCGGAACTATTGGAACCAACACTAGCGACATTGCTGGCATGTGCCAATAGGTATTTACAACAGGTCAAGGTGTATTTGCAGGCACGGGTCCAGGTCTCGTCGTTCTGGTTGAAACCAAGCTTGATACTCGCATCGCCGATTTTATCGCGCTTGATTGGGTATGGGAGCTTCAAAGCCGAGCTCGGAGCGCCGGTCTGAGCTCGGCGATTTGAGGATACAGGTGCCTGTGACATCTCCACAAAATCGCCTAGTTGGCGTAGGCATTCCAGGAACGCCACCATTCCTGCGTCGAATCGGCGGTGAAGCCAAGGAAGATTGAGCGGCAGGTCGCCGGATGAGAATAAATCGAGTGTAGTAATCTTAGGCGGTCCCAAGGTAGTCGGATTCCCACCACCTATGGCGGACTGAGCCGGGGAGGGGCGGGGATACTCGAATTTATCAATCCTAGACATGGCCCCTAGAGGTCTGAGCTGGTATCCTTGAAATGAAAACCCCAGTTTCTCGGCGATGGTTGCAAGGAGCAGGGCTGTCTGACCCCAGGCAGCATTAATCTCGGGCCAATCCACGGACGGGTTGGTCAAACGACCAAGCCGCAATCCATTGATCGTCCCAAAGTAGCCGTCATGACCGATGCAAAAGGCATCATTGTACACATTCGTTCTCTGAAGTCTTTCGAGCTGGCGAGAATCATGGTCGTATTTCATGTTCAAAGCATCCCGTTCTTCCTGGAACCCGTTGAGCTCGAGTGTAAACTCGTTGCGACCACGCCAGAACTCCTCCTCCTGCAGATCCAGCTTTTGCGATTCCTCCTCCAGCTCGGCAATTTCACGGTCCAGCGCTGCCTTCTCTTCTTCCAAGGCGACGAGCTCGGCAAAGGCCTTCTCCTCGGCTTCTTTGGTCTCCTTCAAGGATTTCTCGGCGGCCTCGATTTCTTCGGTCGTGGGTACCGTCGACGAGTTGAGAGTCCTCAGAAACGAAATGTATGCGTCACGTTCCTTTGTAGCATTGACCAGTTGTTTCTGTAGCCCCGTCATGACCATATCCGTACACTCCGTGCAGATGGGATGATCGATGTCGGAGTGAGCTGATATGAACTCGAAGATGCGATTATTGCGCTCGACCTGGTCCGCAAAGGGAAGTGACTCCCCTTCGGTGCCATGGGTATGTGTACCGGATGATTGTTTGCCTTTCGACGGAGAGCTCAGGTTTTGCGTCTCTGGAGTCATTTGCGGCGGACCGACTTGGGACTCCGTAAGCATGACGAAGGACATGTTGCCGCTGTCCCCGCGTCCTAGCTTAGAATTCTTGTTGTGCTGGGTGCCGGTCGCAGTGACCGGCGGTGGGATCATCCTTCTGTACGCCGCCGAGTTGGCATTCTGGGAGGCTCGGTCGTAGTATTCATTTCTCTCTTGCGGATAGGAAGGCCGCGACGATGACTCCGGTAGGGTTTTAGCCGTAGAACCTAAGTAATTCAAGCTGCGATTAGCGGGCCGTGAGGATATTCAAGGGAAGGATAGAAGGTACCGGCGAGGAGATCGAAGACCGCTGGATTGAGCGACTCCAGCGAGCTGTCCAGCTTCAAAGGGGTCCGGCATTTCTGGCAGTACATGATGGCGGGCTATTAGTGAGTCATTCCCATTCATTATGGTGACAGAAAAGAGCTGTCAAGAAGTGGTGGCCTGGAGCAGAGTAGTCTTTAAGATGATGGAAGGGCCCGTCCGGTGCGCCATTGCGGGAGACGTCATGCAGACCCGTGCTCTCGGGGCGCTTGTTTTGGTGTCCGCCTTCCGAAGCTTAGTTTCATTGCCAGGCTCAATTCACTTGAACAGCCCGAGATCCAGATGCGATTGTGTTCTGGAGTCTAAAGGGAACCGTGAAGTGTTCTTATTCCAATCGATACTTGTTTCCCTGTGTATCTTGTCGCCAGTACCACCAACGCGCACATCGCATCTTTTTTGTCGCGTTCCCCGTTAATTAAATTTCCGTCGCGCCGCGTCTCTCAGCATCGCTACGTCGCTTCGTGTTGCCTCGACGTCTATTCGAAGAAGTGGGACCTGACCCTTTACTCGCCAGGATAACCCGATAATCGCTCCTTGACCTCTCAACCCTACAAGAATCGCGCGCAACAATCATCTTCCTCCCCAGATCACGGTTCTATCACCGACGCTCTCTCCCCGCGAAAGTACTATGGAGCCACCTTCCAAAAGACCCCGGCTGTCATTCGCAGCACAGGACGAGGATGGCGCAGACGACGCAGACGACGCAGACGACGTAGACCTACAGGAAGCTCGTTTCCAAAACGACCAGCGCCTCAAATCGATCTTCGAGGGTATTTTTCAGAAATACGAAAAGGATTTTACAGAAGTGGGCGATGAGATCGATCTGCAGACAGGGAATATAATCGTCAACAACGGACACCTCCAAGGGATGGATGACGAGCGTGATACCGGCGAAAAAGAGAGCGACGAGGAGGAAGGCGAGGGAGAGGGACCTTGGCTATTTGGTCCAGGTACACATTGGTCCGCGGAGGAACCAAACCCCCCTGGGCCAGATGAAGAGGGAAATACGGTGAACGGAACCACTAGCTACGTGGAGACTCGAGACGGGGACGAGGAGCCAGGATACAGGGAGATATTCTCGTCACGGCAGCGACGGCAGGGCTCACCGATATTACGGCCAGGTCTGGAAGAGACAAGGGAGGAGCCAGAGACACAGGACGAAGCAGCCAATACCGATTTAGGCGCCGATGACGATAGGTCCAGTGTGGATTCCTTGTTGGATACTGCGCTGGACGTCCAGAACAATCTGAGGGACTCGCTAGCCAAGAGAGCCAGGAAAGGTGCAGAAGAACAACAAAAAGCAATTTCTGCGGCTGAAACACCCGTCCAATCCGATCGCAAGCCTGGTCACAACCTCTCAGAGCCAGTGGAGTCACTCTGGCGCGTTCCTGAAATTAATGCGAATTTCTCAACACCCACTTGGCATCGATCGCGCCCAAAACCTGCCATTCAGGCGGCCCGATCTGAATCCCCACCTGACGCAGGCTCGATTTGGGCGTTGCCAGGGAGGTCCCGGCGAAGCACAGTATCGGCCAAAAAGAGAAGCCCCAAGAAACCGGGGGCTGGCCAACGGAGTCGCAAGGCTGCTTCCAGCCCTGTCGTGTTCGACTGGTCTTTCGCAGAAACCCCCGATGGAAATGAATCCGACGACCCGTTGCAGGAAGAGGTGCAGCCGTCACCAACACCCAAAAACACCGTGAAAATCAGAGGGAAAATGCCAACGCCAGGCGGTACTCCTAAAGCTGTACCTCAAGCGGATTCTTCTGTTGATCGACATGAATCAATTCAGTCAGGAGGAAGCTAGATGTAGTCACTAATGACAAGGCTGCACGGCGGCAACCGGACGCCCCCGAAAACGTCGATACCCCTTGCGTACAGTTAGACGGCACGGAGGATAGCTCAAACGGGAATGCAACTACGACTCAAGATGCAACGCCTACGAACAAACAGGTTAGAATGGCCATGACGCCAGACGAAGCAAGGACAATTGTAATTACAAGACAGGTCGAAGGAAAGAAGTGGAAGGAGGTGTTGGAATTCTTCCCACGAAGAAATGAGAGGCAACTTATTCAATGGAATCAGGTGCATTGGAATGATCGCCGTGCAAACCCACCTCAGCAATCCGGGCCTTGGTCGCACAGCGAGCGAGAAACATTGGAAGGTCTCAAAGACCAACGAGGTCTCACCTGGTCCACAATTCGTGCTGCACTTCCAGGACGGTCACGGGCAGAATTGGAGTTCAAACTATTCCATCTTTGGGTGGGCGATGATGTTTGGGACAATCAGCAAAAGAAAGTGACATTCGGATAGGCCGCCAGTAGGCCTCGCCAGAAGGCAACCACATCATGCAACTTCTTTTCATCATGGCGCTCCGTCCATAGAGCAGATGACAGCCTTTGCCATGTATCGTCCAAAGCTCACGTGCTTGTTGGGCGCAAATCTCATAAGCGCAGATGAAAGTCATCCCTTGAATACACGTGTAATGCGAGAATGAAAATAACGGCTGTCGATTTGCAGTCGCAGCACATTGGTGAGGCATGCAAGCGTACTTTCGTAAAAGCAATCTTGGATATAACCGAGTATCGCCGAGGATAGCCGTCATGAGAATGGCATCAGCAGGGCACCGACCGTGATGCATGCTGATAATCAATGTGATCATTGACTCTCACGCAATCTGGGCTTTGATCCTGTCGTAACTTGCAATCTGAATAGGCCATGTTCCTATTGCTCATCTTTGGCGTTCAAGACATCCTCGAGCTTTGTGTCTACCGCACCGCCGACGTTGCCAGCCTTAGCCCAAAATCTCGAGAGGTGCCTTGAGCCGGAGTCGGATAGGACCGTCACAATTCGATGACCAGGTCCAAGTCTCATCGCAGTCTTGACTGCCGCAAAACCTAGGTCAAGGTTAGCAAGTTTGATGCGTTGAGCAAAGCAACAGGGTACCCACAGTTCACTGCACTGCTGCTTCCCAGGAAGAGTCCGTCCTTTTCAACAAGCCACCTGGCCATTGCCAATGCCTGCGCATCCGTGACTCGAACAGCATCGTCGACCAGTTCCTTGCCTACTTCAAAGTTGGCCGTCACACGGTTGATACCGATGCCCTCCACAATGGTGTCCACCTGTCTTCGTCTTCTCGTGCCTTCTTTTTCTTTAATATCGAACATAACACCATAGCGGACCCTGTTGTAGAGACCGCTTCCCTGGGGATCGGCCAGCACCACGCTCAAATTGGGAATCTTCGGCTTGAGGAACAACGCCACGCCAGAGATCGTGCCGCCCGTTCCAGCGCCTGCCACAAAAGCGTCCAATTTGCCATTGCATTGGGCGTAGATCTCGGGGCCAGTGCCATTGAAATGCGCTCTCCAGTTAGCCTCGTTTTCAAATTGGTCCGCAAAATACCCCCTCCCCGGAGTAGAGCTGGCGATCTCGGCCAGCTCCTGAAAGGAGGAGTCTGAATCCGATACATTGGCAGAGGATGCAGTGTGAGCATGCGCGAGTGCGCGAGCCCGGTTGACAAAGTTCTCCTTTTCGACAATCGGAGCAGGCGGAACACGGTCCACGATCGCACCTAGTTTGAGAAGTAGATCGGACTTTTCAACTGCCTGGTCGGAGGGCATACAACTGATGGTTTGTATTAGAACAACATGCTGCGAAAGCGAATGGCACAGAGACATACATGTGAGCCAAGTAGCCTTTAGCACGGGCTAGCGAAGCCAACGAGATACCCGTTGAGCCAGAAGTGCCCTCATAGACGGTATCACCCGAATGAGGAGTTAGGATACCATGTTCTTCTGCCTACATTACGGTCAGAGGAACTCTCAATCAGACCAGTGGCTGAGACGTACAATTTGAATCATGCTCAACGCAACCCGGTCTTTAGAACTTTGACCAGCACCATTGAGAAACTATCCAGCCAGTCAGTACAATACCGAACATCCTGCGCAGGAGAAACTCACCTCGGCCTTTCCTAGAATTTCGCATCCAGTTGCATCGGACAAAGACTTGATCCGAAACAGATGCGTATTTCCTATACACCCCTCGATACCCTCCACGATGGCCGGAGGGCCCGATCTAGTAGTTGGAACATCGTCGTCTTTGGTGAGATCTTGAAGAGTAATTGTCGAATTGGATTCACGGCGATAGTTCCGGAAACGCTGCTCCAGCTCCGGATACAAGAGTTCCTTGACTCCGAGGGTCAGGAGAGCCCCAGCCACGAAGGCCGTGCCTATGTAGACACGCGAGTGATCGCTCATCCTGGCGGGTGTGGTGCAAAAGTGGTGAGATCAAAGCGCTGGCCGATGGCGACGGCGACGGAGAAAAAGCACGGGCCACCCCGACCTCCGCCTGCCGCGAATCTTCTGCCGCCGTCTTTCATCATTCCTTTTGCAGCTCTCCCTCTTCCCCCTGCTTGCTTGCTCGCTTCCTGTCCGTCTCCCCGCCGATTCCCTTCGGACCATGGACTCCGCGATCTTGAATCAGCTGTTTCGACAGCTGTTTCGACATCCTGCCTGCCAATGTCCGCGGCCGTCCTCGATCCTGCCCGCGCGCAGACCCGGCACTGTGCGCTTCTCGACACCTCCCCGTCAGCAGTCTCGTACTTTCATCTCGCGAATGAGAAGGAAGATGAAGTATGATGATAGCGAGACATTGTACTGGACGAGACGGGAGGATTACCCGTTGGATTTCGCGGAGACCATGACCTACCCTCTTGTGACGGCCAAGGACCTGCGGCGTAATCGTGAGCGGCCGCGGCGCATAAGGATGTTGACCAGAGAATTCATTGACGGTACGGGAACCACAAAACAAGCGTCTCAATCTAGCAGGCTCGCTGACTTTGACTTCGTGCCACTTTTAGATAGTTTATACAATCCGCATTACGGCTATTTCACCAAGCACGCGACCATCTTCAGCCCTGGTGAACCGTTCCAGTTCAACCAAATTAGCGACGGGCCCTCGTTTCATCAGTTGTTGGAGGAGCGATATACAGAGTTTGAGGACCGTCTGGATCTACAGGAGCCTGATATAGCTCGTCAGCTCTGGCATACGCCCACCGAGCTTTTCCGTCCCTACTACGGCGAAACACTCGCACGATACTTGGTTTCCAACTACAAGCTGACACTATACCCCTACCACGACCTGATCATCTACGAAATGGGTGCCGGTAACGGTACGCTGATGATCAACATGCTGGACTTCATCCGCGACACAGACTACGAGGTCTACCAGCGTACTAAGTTCCGCATTATCGAAATCTCGCCGGCTCTCGCCGACCTTCAGTTCCAAAACCTAAAAGAATCGCTCCACGCGGCGGGCCACATAGACCATGTCGAGATTATCAATCGATCCATCTTCGACTGGGACACCTACGTGCACTCGCCATGCTTTTTCCTGGCCATGGAGGTGTTCGACAATTTCTCGCACGACGCCATTCGTTACAACTATCAAACGGAGATGCCCCAACAAGGCGGTGTGGTGATCAGCGAGTCTGGCGAATTCAACGAATACTACAACACGCAGCTCGACCCCCTGGCCGCTCGGTTCCTACGCGTCCGACAGGCTGCTGCTCAACGCGAGTTCCCTTCGCCCTTGGGCAGCAAACTCACCCGGCCCCTGCACCGGGGGATTGCCAAATACCGTGACATCCCACACACTCTGCCCGAATACATACCCACTCGCCTCATGCAGTTCTTCGACATCCTCAACACCTACTTCCCCGGACACCGACTCTTGACCAGCGACTTCAGCACCCTCCCCAATGCCATTCCCGGGCTGAATGGGCCCGTCGTGCAGACTCGTTACAAGCGCCGCACCGTCCCGGTGTCTACTCCTTTTGTAAGCCTCCCACGCAATCACGGAGTATTGCAAATCTTTCTACTAACTAAACAATCCAGGTCCAACAAGGTTTCTTCGATATCTTCTTCCCCACGGATTTCGACGTCGTCGAGGACCTCTACCGCGCCATCACTGGCAAATTGACCCAGACCATGAGCCACGAAGACTTCATGCGTCGCTGGGCGTACATCGAAGACACGGAGACGAGGAACGGCGAGAACCCCCTCTTGTCCTGGTACAAGAACGCCAGTGTCATGATGACGGTGTAACTGATTTTTGGTTGTACTGTACATTTACCTGACTGTACTACTACTTACTTCTTACTACTTGCCTTCCTACTATTACTATTAGTACCATTGCCTATCTTGTTAGGAGGAGCTCTTGTATAAGGGGGTTTGGTTTGGCTAGATATCTCTCCCCGGTGCAATACATTTCTTGTTTGGAACGAGTTGCGATGTAGATTCAGGATGGAGGGTGCCGGTTTCTTTATGTCGGTTCCAGCGTATAATTGGCATTGTCTGAGCAATGAGGGTACCTTTTCTATCTTTTCCATCGACCCTTTATCAATATCTGCAGTCCAACAACCCACAATCGATATATACACAGAAAATAACAGAAATACCACACAAGCCTCAGGTAACAGAGTCAGACAAGATAATAACCAAAATATATACATCCAATCTAGTCAGGGTCAGGTAATCTACAACTTCGCCGTCCCCTCCTTACCAGCATCCCCCTGCCACGCAAACCCAATCTTCTTCCCAATCCCAGGCTCCACGATAACATTCACCACCGTGACCGTATCACTCTCAAAGCCCGCCCTCGTCGCATTCTCCAGTTCCTGCTCATTGCGCACAAAGAACCCCTTCCCGCCACACATCTGGGCCAGCATTTCATAGCGCATCTCATACAGGAGACTCGTAGAGCGGAGCCCCTTCTTCCCGTCCTCGGACTTGGTGTCGTTGGCGATCGTCTGGTCTTGGAGCGTGGTCCACGCGTCGTGTGAGGTGCTATCGCCGTGGTAGATGCCGGAGTTGTTGATCACGAAGATCACGGCTGGGATGCGGTACCGCGCCATGGTTTCGATTTCCATGGCGCTGAACCCGAACGCGCTGTCGCCTTCTAGGGCGACGATTTTCTTCTTCTTGTCGTTGCTGGTCGCGTTGTAGGCTTCGTGTGCGGCGACGATGTATCCCATCCCTACGCCCATTGTGGCGTATGTGCCGGCGTCGAGGCGCTGTCGGGGGTGGTTGAGCGGGAAGGCTGAGCGGGAGATGTCCATTGTGTTGGCGCCTTCGGAGATATAGACGATGTTTCCGTCTTCGAAGGGGGTCAGGGAGTTGAGGGTGGTTTTGATGACTTGGAACGCTCGCTGGTAGGTCAGTGGCGAGCCGGGGGAGGTGGGAAGGAGCGCGGCCTTCTGCGCTTTGCTCTCGTTCTTCTTGGCTGATTCCGCGAGCAGAGATGAAAACTGGCCGTCTGTGGGGGAGGAAGAAGGGGCGTAGCGCCAGTTCGACAGCGAGGCCAGAATTTGATCAACAACTAGCCCGACGTCACCGATGATACCTAGTTCCGCGGTCCCGGCATTCCGTCCAATCTCTTCGGCGCAGATGTCCACCTGGATGATCTTCGCCCGGGGAGACCATTTTGGCGGCTCCCCAAAGTGCAGGATCCAGTTCAGCCGCGCGCCGAGGACCAGCACGACGTCTGCGTGCTTCAGCGCCGTGCTGCGGGCACTCGATGCATTGAGAGGATGGGAATCCGGTACAACACCCTTGCCCATCGGCGTAGGTAAGAACGGGACCTGTGTCTGTTCCACCAGGCGACAGATCCCCGACTCTGCCCTCGCATACGCGGCACCTTTGCCGACGATCAACAACGGCGCACGAGCGGCCTGCAAAAGCTCCACGGCCTTCGCGATCGATGCCGGATCGCCTGCTGTCTTGGGCGGTGCCGCGACCAGCGTAGTTTCCGGCGCCGGCAGACGAAACCCAGGCGCGGACTTCCCCTGGATGATGTCGGCGGGGAGATCGACGAATGTTGGTCCGGGGCGACCGTACCAGCACGTTCTGTAGGCGTTCTTGACGGCCCCGTTCACAAAGTCCAGGGACGTCGTGCGCACCGCGAATTTGGTGTGGGGGGTGAGGAACGACACGGCGTCCATCTCCTGGAAGGCGCCTTTCGTGACGCCACTCGTCTCGGCCGATCCGGCGAGGACTAACAGCGGGAAGTTGTTCGCAGAGGAGTTTCCAATCTTTACAGAAAAAACAACAGGAGATGTTAGTAAATCTGAGGTATAGATGTCTCATGCATGAGTGTACTTGCCCCCGCCAACGCATGGAGTACTCCGGGTCCTCCGACAACAAGACAGACACCAGGTCGTCCCGTCATATAACCGTAGATACTGGCAGCATAGCTGCAGGCTTGCTCATTGCGGAATGCCACGAATCGGATCCCGAGGTTAATAGCTTCTTCGGCAATCTCGACGACTGGGATCCCCACGATGCCGAAGATCACAGTGACGCCTAGATCGTGCAGCGTCCGGGCGATTAGCTGGGCACCTGTCGCAACAGCCATGATCGACTATATTCGATCGGGTCTATGGGGGAAAAAGTTTAGATAAGGATTGGTATCATGTGTATTAGGAGGAGGATGGCCGCTCAGCAGTCCGATGAGGTTGATGATGTCGCGGAGAACATTATGCGGAGAAGCTCGTCCCGAGGCTCCCTCGGAAATGCCCGATGCGGACCATCCTTCTCCACTACAGACGGTAGGCAACAGAGTAGAACTATACGGCCAACTACGATTGATCGAACATTATTAAACCTCACTCCAAGCTATTAAGATCATACAGCTCTGGAAATGCACTGCATTTGTATCTCACATATAAGGACATCATGGTATCCAAAGATCAACTGAAACAAAGCAACCATAGTATGAACCGGTTCTAAACTCCTCCTTACAACTGAAGGACACAGGCATATAACGAAAAGAAAAAAGAGCAAAGCAAAAACGAGAGATTACATCATTTAGAATTCGAACTCTTTCCGGAAGACGTTCACATCCATCCCAGCCACAACCATATCAGCCAAGTCCCGACGTCCCATCTGGCTAAAGACTCGCCGCAGCGTGTCGTACAGATTGGTGCTCTGGTTGTGGGTGGCTTGAAGCATGCGCTCCAGATGCTCGTCATCGATGCCACCTTCTCCGCCGCCGACGATTTCCCGCGCACGCTCACGACCCTCCTGCTCTACCACGCGATGCATGGATAAGGCGCCCAGCAGGTGCTGTGCGGCTTCGGGGTAGCAGCCGATGTTGATGCACGATACGCCGAGGTTGTAGCGGGCACGGACGAAGTTGGGGTTGATGTTGAGGGCTTGTTCGTAGGCCTCGATAGCTTCTTCGGAGCGGCCCGAGTTGGCAAGCGTGGCTCCAAGTCGGTTCCATAGGAGGTGGAGCTGCTCCTGTTGGTTTGTGGTTCCGGATTCGGTGGATGCCAATGCGGCAGAGAAACAGTCCACGGCCTTGTCGTACTCCTCGGCACAGTAGAAGAGGACACCCAGGCCAACTTGGACGTCGGGATCCATGTGCTCTCCCGAAGGCGACAGCTGAGCTGCCTGGATGAACAGATCGGTGACCCGGTCATGGAGGATCTGGCGATCGGTAAATCCTAGGTCCGCGTCGGAAGAAACATCCTTGGGGTTGATAATCTGGGGGTACTTGGCGGAAAGCCATCGCTCCAGGGTGCGGTAGGCCGTTGAATCGTAGCCTTCGTTGGTGTAGGAGACGGCCAGTCCCATGAGAGCGTCCAGATTTTGCTCGTCGATCTTGAGCGCCTGTTCCAGAGCACGGATGGCAGGAAGTTCCTTTTCATTCTGGGCCTGGGCAGATCCCAACATCGTCCAGGCTTGCACGTGCTGGGGGTCCTTCTGTACAGCAGCCTCGAACGCCAGAGCGGCCAGCGACAGATTACCGCCCTCACGCATGATCTTCACGCCCTCCTCGAAAGGATTGTTTACACTCCGGAACACATTATCCTCTTCGAACATGTAATCGCCGAGTTGAGGGTCTCGGAACCGGGTGTTGAGCGTGTCAAAGCTATCCCACTCACCAAGATCGCCCATGTGAAGGTTCTCGTTCACGTTAAAGTCGGTGTTCTCCTCTGCCAATTTTCTGCTTGCTGCCGTCTCAGCCTGGACTTTTTCCCATATGCGCTCAAAATCACCACAATCTGAGGGAACTGGGACTGACCTGTCAAGATCGTTCAGCTCCGCCTCAATAGCATCATTAGCCTCGTTATCCAGTTTCTGATTGCCCGCAGTCTCCATCTCCGCAAACTGCGCCTCCCAATTCTCGTCGTCCAACTCGACCATGCGCCCTTTACCCTTATCCTGAGTCATAGCTTCGGCCGGCTGCTGCGGCTGCTGCATACCCATCGGGCCATACGAGGGTCTCATCATCCCCATCCCACCCATCCCCATGTATCCCATACCTCCCATCGGACGCTGGTAGCCACCCATCATCGGCGAAGGGCCCGCAGTGACGGGACTCGACGTCTGCGGCATCCCGACTCGGCTCTGCTGCTGGAAGCGGGCAAACTCCGCCGGCGTAAATCCCGAGTTGTTGTTCATCATGGGGCCCTTAGGGCCGGCAAAGGCGGCCTCCATGCGGGCGTGCTCTCCGGCGTCGAATTCGGCGGCCCAGCCGGGCGAACCCGTTCGAGGCGGCGTGGTCTGGAAGTGATCTAACTCGCGTCGGAGATGTTCCATCGCAAAGGGCTGCGGAGGGGCTCCGGGCAATTGTCCGGGCTGTTGGGCGAATTCATCCATCATCTAAATCGATGCCGGGGGACTTTCCGTTAGCATGGAACGCATAGAGTTATCAAAGCCGCGTAGTTAGAGGCGCCCCCCGTACCTGATCTTGACCACCCATCATCCCCGTCGACCGCATACCCTCCTGCATGCCACCGGGACCTCTCCCGACGAGACGGTCCCGTTGCAGGGACTTGTCATCTTGGACATGCTTGGTAAACTGTGTTAATGGGTTTCCCGCCGTTGAGCACTCAGCGCCACCGAGGAAGGACATTTTGGAAGGATTGTGACTCCGTGGCGGTTTAAAGCATTCAGTATAAGGGTTTCCGAGTGAATAGCGAGGGGACGAAAAGGGTAGAGGTTCGGTAGGGAAAGCGAGAGCGGAGGAAGAAAGATGATCGATTGATCAGTAATGGCTCCCAAGGCCAAACGTGGGGTTCGGAGACACTCTAGAGCCGATCGGGAAAAACGGGCAATGCCGAGGTCCCCCCGTCACGTGGCGGCAAACTTTCCTATCAGTAATCGGGGAGCTTGGGAGTGACTACGGAGTAGGTCCTGGATGTATAATTACCGGATTGATTATGCTAACAATGAACTATGATACAGATCTGGGTAGCGGCAACATTCGCCATATTAAACACTGCACGGTCCCCTAACAAGATACCAAACGCTCAAACACCCTGTCGCTCTGTTCATTCCTCCTGAGGCTGCTTATTTTGAGGCTGCTTATCCTTAGAAGGTCCTTTTTTGGTGTAATGGCTGAAGTCGATTATAAGCTTTCTTCCGTACGGCGCCTTTTTGCTGAGGATCTCCATTGCCTGGCGGGCACTCTCGACATTGGTAAAGTCGGCATGAGCGAATCCTCGAGGTTGGCCGGTACGACGATCAACAGACACGCGGACATCGATCACATTGGTAATATCCTTGAAGACCTCGTTCAGATCCCGATCGGTCATCTCGTACGCCAGGTTGCCAATGTACAGACACCGCGATGCAGGCTTCAGCGCTTTTTGGCGGTCAATGTTATTATTCGCAAACTGCACGCGGCAATAACGCCCCTCAAAGATACGCCCATCCATGGCCTCGATGGCGCGCCTGGCCGCGTCGATGGTATCGAACTGAACATAACCGAATCTGCGTGATTTGCAAACATCATCGTTAGAAGGGTTTCTTTCTCATTTTTCCCTCGTTTGCCCTGATATGGACTGTAACTCACCCGCGACTGATTCCCCGGTTATCAAAAACAATATGGAGTCGCTCCACGATGCCATACTTCTCCATCTGCTTCCGCAGATCCTCCGCCGTCACATCGTAAAATATATTGCCGATAAAGATAGTTTCTTTCGGCTCAGGCGCTTGCGCCAAAACTATTTGTCGTCTCCGGCGCTTGCCCTCTGCTTGGAGCGATTGGGTAGCATATCCGGGTTCCTGAGCATGTCGGGGTTTCTGCGCATGGGAGTTCTGCTCCTGAGAAAATGCTGCCGCTACCTCGGCGGCGATATCATCCGTCCTCGTGGCTCCTTGTTCGACATGCTGGGCGGCCGCTTCGATCAACTGTTCATTGCTGATGTTCTGTTCCTCCGCGGCGTCCTGTTTGGGGGTCGACGCCTCGTTGCTGTTCCATCGATACTGAGAGAGCGGCTGCGGCAACCGAGGGAGCAAAGTCGTACGAGATGAGTGAGACGCAATCATCCACGACGAACGCGCCGGTGCGGAGGCCGTCGAGGTAATCAGCCGACTTGCGGCCCTGCGGAAACAATGCCTATCAAGGAGCGAGCGAATGTCAGTCTCGTGTTTCTACCAAGCAATTCAGAATCCAATAATTCCCATCTCCAGTAGCTTACATCGTGAGATAAAATCAAAGGGAATTGGCGATATGCACAATGTGAAGGAAACTCTGAACCAAATTAGCTGATGTTTTTTCTGAGCAGAAATCCCTGCCAGAAAAACCTTTGCTTATCAGTCACGTGAATCTGCGCCAAGCCGGCGATAACAGCCGGGCCCCCGGTAACGAATCCACTCCCATTCTAGACCCTCTACTCCTATCAACATGGCATCCAGCTGAGTAGTAACTGCCGCTTCTAGATTTCAGACCAGTGGGGTAGCTTGCTGCATAAGGTTCTTGTTCTACTAATCTATGTCAGGCGTGTTTGGCTGTGCACATGACTATGAGAGGCCTGCTGTTCCGCGATATATTCTAGGTCGGTCATGTTATACCAGATATATTTGACATGTTCCTAATATAGAGTAGGGTGTTGTAAAAATAACTTCATAGCAATACACCGCGAGATTTTCCTTCTCATGTCAAGCTCGTTCACACCGCAAAAGCCGCTTCAATCCAAATGATATCGGACTCCTATGATCAAAATAACACCGTTTTGTAGAATAGACAATTATAGCCGAACGGCAGTCAGAACCGAAAAAGAAATCAGAATCCAGGCCGGTGAGACAAATTGTGCACTTTTAATCTTCAAGTAACTTTTTCTGAAGAATTGACATCACCAGTGCTTACACGCCGGTTGGATTTGGGTTGTTATTATCGAACCCCGTATTCCCCGGCGAAAATATATTAGGGAAGGATGGCAGCGTTCGAGACCTGTCCGGCGAAGGATTTTGTGGCGTTGGTAACTGGGTTGGAGATAGCGGGTTCGGGATTTGTTGCTGTGTTTGCGGGGGTGGTTGTTGCTGCATGTCCATGGATGGCCACCATTGATTCGAGAGATCTATCGTCGAACTTTGAATATAAGTGTCCCAAGCATTCTAGATGCCTTGTTAGTCATGGTATTGGATAAGTTGAAGATGAAGAGAAAATCATACCCAGTCCAGGTTGAGTTGCATGTCAGGCATCTGCCCAAACATGGAACTGAATGGCGAAGGGGCGCCGGTGAGATCGGTAGCCGTCGTTCCAAATCCTCCTGGCGTTGGCATTGATGTTTCCATCTTTAGTCCACCATCGCTGAAAGGGGGCGGTCCCGGATTCATAGGGCTCATTCCACTACTGAGAAGCCCCAGGGTCATTGCGGCGTTTTGTTTCTCATCCTGCGGTTCGAATGCTGGGGCCGCCGCATTGGCATCGGAGTGTCCCAGGTTTAACCGAGAAAGCATCACTCCGAGTGCGCCCGAAGCCTTCCAGGCCTCCATTGCCTCGTCACTTAGCCCGTCCCAAATCTCCTTACAGCGCTGCAAAGCGGCCAACATTTCATCACGGCGTTCTCTGCCCCATGCGTAGGTATCACCCGAAGCTCGGCCTCCCGTTTGCAGCTGATGTCCATGGTAGAGGTCAAGGGAAACGATGGTAGCAGCAAGTAGGAAGTCTGTGGAGCAGAGAGCAGTGACGCGGTTCTGCCTGCTCTGCAGACGGCCAGTAGGGCCGGCCTCAACATAAAGCATCGACTGGAACCGCAGGAGCTCCATTGCAGAGTCAATACAGGACCTTCGGGAGTACGTGAATCTAGGGTTTTCGCGTGCTCGAACAAGGTAGCGCCGATGAAGAACAATCTGCGCTTTGTGGTACACACTCATAACCTAAAGGTACATTAGGGCCTGTTTTGCTAAAGTTCATATCAAAACGAACATACCGTGTATCGCGACATGACAATATTCAAGGGGTCTAGTTGTGACTCCTCAATGGGACGAACAAGAAGATGCTCGGGAACTAGATCTCTGGCTCGACGAAGTTCTGCATCCACCTCCATGACCTTATCATAGGAGTGTGTTTGGAGCGGCGCAGACTGTTCGACAACGCGGCCGAAAACCAAAGCCAGGCGAGCTTTGGCGATAAGAAACGAGATCGGAGTAGGTTCATTTGGTGGACGCGATTGGGGGAGCTCTTTGCACTCCTCGTCAAAATCGTCGTCGTACAAGTTGCGAGGAAGTTCGGTATCGCTGTCCAAGGGACGGATCATGCTGGGTAGACCGACCTGGAAGGAGAATAAGAGATCGGCTTGACGCACGAAAGCCCAGACGCGTCGCCGCATTTCTCCTTGAAAAGGGGTGATGTTGGGGAACATTTTGGAGTCCCGATGATATCCCATCCGCATGGCCAACCTCGTGATCACACCCACAAGCACCCAAACCGATACATCCGCTTCCTTCGACTGGCAATAGTCTCCATGAAGGTGAAATATTAGTGACTCGATCAAATAAGGATAAGGCTTAGTATAATCGGCCAACGTGAGACACTGTGCCATCAGATTTCGAAACGTTCCGGCCATATCCAGAGATTTACCCCTGAACTCTGGAGGCTCATCCCCTTCCCGATGATACGACAGCATAGCAAGCCGCATCATAGCAAAGAGCATGCCAATCCAGACAATACAGGTCTCAGACGGGTCCTCCCAGTGCTTGTTATACTGCCATAACCGTTAATACCAGAAGTCCAAATTTTTGCGTCAAGGATTGAATTACCTGAGATTGAAATGTGGGGCCATGAAGGATGTCTGAGATCTGGGTTAGTATCGTCTGACGCGGTAAATCAGGGGAAAGAAGTCCACTAACGCGTCGCGGGATCATAGCAACTGAAATAACGAGCGATTAAGATGTCGGTAGTGTATTTTGAGGGGAACGACGACATGATTTCTTCACGACTGGCTGCCTTATTAGTGCCAAAAAGAAGGGCCGAGCCTGACACGTCGGTTGGGGGCATCGTGGTCTTGAGCTTTTCCACTTGCTCCTCGTATTGCTTTTTGTGCGTGGTGAAGTAATTACGAACTTCGGCGATCTAAAATTCATATGAATAAGCGGTGTTGGTCATTGACCACAACGAGAAAATACTCACATCGCTGAGCACGGCCGCCCAATGAGCCTCGCTGACATAGTATGATTTGTTGTTATTGTCAACCTTCATGATACCAAATGATTTCGTCACTTGCTCAGTATCACTTTCTTCGGGTCCTCCATGCGCATCCTCGTCAATGTCCAGATCTGTCGTCGGTTGGGCCGAGCTAATACTGCTGCTATTGCCTGAGATTGCGGCCATGGCGGCGGCAGGGCCTGCGGACTGCGATCCGTTGGTCATCAGTGACAGAACCAAACTTTCCAAACGGTCGATCCGATTCTGCATGTCATCCGGAGAGCTCGCCGCCGCTTGCTGCGGGGAGTTCTTTTTGCGCGTGCTGGCCTGGGCATATGAACAAGAGGACGCATCGCCTCGTTTGACGCAGTTCTCACATGGGTGGGCACGGTTGCATTTTAGCCTGGTTACAACCTGTCAGAATACATACAGAAGCCTATATATATCACGAGCGGGAAGAGATCATTACTTTCTATGCCTGCATGGGCCACAGGAGAGAGGAACGCGATTTCGTTTTCGGATGACCCTGAAGTGGCCTTCCGGCGAGAATGCGCCGGCACTTGAGGACGTCGTGGACGGAGGGGTAGGCGTCATTGTGGTTTACTCAATTACCTTCGGTGAAGGATAGGAGCGCAAATGTGACTATGAAGTCGCCCACCAATATCAACCCGATTGCACCGACCCGGTAGGCGATATTAACAGAATGGCTCGTTGCAACGAACGAACGGGCTGTCGATCAGAGTCTTGGCGTACAAGAAGTGGTAAAGACAATGGGTGTCAATAAGAGATATGAAGTTCCCACCGTGTGGAATAAGAGCAGGCGACTGGCGCGGGGTAGATAGTGCTGAGTTTGCACTAGAATCCCTCTCAGGAGTGGTGCGACTCAGGAGGCTAGAACCGCGCCAACTATCTACTGCTAGTACGTCGGGTAGGCGACAGCAGTTGCGCAGCGCTTCGAGAAAGGCCGCAAGTGAAAATAAATTCCCACTTTGGGAGCTAGGAATTCCAAGAACCACGTCTCAGCGGTCAACCTGGCAGTTCCAGCCTGCGCGAAAAGGATCTCAGCGTGGGGCGATAGGAAACTCGTTGCTGTTTTACCCAGCGGAGAGTCCAGGAAACGAGAAGACGACGGCGTTGGCGAATGCGGAGGCCAATAAAGGGAAGATGTGGGCAGTCGATACTCGCACCAGATGGCCGGGAAGCAAGAGCGAGAAGACGGTTAACGAGAGGAAGTTAAGGAGGGGCGCAATGAGTCCACGGGTTGGCGGCGAACCTGTTGGAACTAGTAGAGCGATACGATGTACGTATTGGTTGGGGCGAAAAAAGACGAGTGGTTCAGAGGACGGCTTGATGGGACAGCGACGAGGAGATTGACAACTGAAGACAAAATGGCTCTCTTGTCCGAGCGATCAAGCTCCTCCACAGAATCGACACGGGATCGCAAGAAGAAAGCGAGAGAGGGAAACGTCAGGCTGACTGGGCGTTTGCTTAGTGATGGGCGTCCAGGCGCGTTATTCCCTTTTATCTCCGTTATCACCCTGCTGAGGTAATCCGTGCACGGGCGCCGGAAACGGCAAATGCCCGAACAGGAATAGTGCGACCATGATTCCTTTGTTTCCTCGACGGAGTACACGGTGTACTGAGTAGGTTTTGGTGCATCACTTCTTCGATATCTTAAATCATGAGAACTCCTCGACTTCATCTCAATATGCATCCTATTCCCGACTGTTCCCAATTCTCCGCGTTGCGCCGGAGCGAACAGACCGTCTTCCAGCTGCGGCCTCCCGCCCGTTGGTGTGACTCAAGGCCCGATGAGACAGGCGGTCTAGACTGGCGGGTCCCCCGTTGTTGCTGCCTCAGGCCAGCATTCCCACAGACCCGACATTTTTGCTGCAGCGCCTTGCGTCCTCTCCACGATGATTCAAGAATCCCGTTTAGATCGAGGGTCGGTCGTAGGCAGGCACAGGGTCAATCACTGGTTCTTACAGTTAGACCTCGGCAGAGTCCGTCCATGGACACCTTAGGGGTGTCCATGACCCGTCCATGGACCCCCCCCCCCTAATGTCCAAAGTCCAACTGCGCTAAGTCCAGTCTAGTCCAGCCCGCACATGCTAAGTCTCAAACCTGTCTAAACCTATCCATTCGTATATAAAATCCTGTCATAAATCTGATCATTCAGCAAAATAAAAGATTGTTATTTATTATTGTTCTGATTTGTCACATAATCAAATCCTGATATTATTATTTTTTTCAAAAAAAATTTTATGAAATATTTATGTATCTTTAATTATTTACATTATTATTTTTTAATTAATCAATAAAATTAATAATATTATTGCAATTTTATATTTTTTAAAATGTAATATTGATTAAGCAATATTGAATTTCAAAATATATATTTTACAATTTTATCTCAAAAATTACACTAAGATTTCTTTAAATAAATATTATATTCTTTGTCAAGGTGCGGGCTGGCGGGGGTGGTAGAGCTGATGGCAGGCAGGTAGGCTAATAGCTCACAGTATCTCTGAATTGCTACAGGGTCAAGCTATATACAGGCTGATAGACAAGACGTAGCTCGAAGAGCTACAACAGGATCTTCAAGCAAGCGGGAAGATATGCAGATCCCGGAACGGATAATATGGCCTTCCGGGCCATAGTTAGAAGGTGCCTCAGGCATCAAGATCTGCACCGTGACACATCCCAATTCAATTAAATATATAACATGATTGGCTATTTATCTAAAACAATCATAGAATGATTTTAATTGAACAAAGAAATTGTTTCAATAAAATTAAAAGAAGATTTCGATATCTTGATAAACAATCTTGATTAAAGAATGAAAAGTTTCTGTATCTAATCGGGTCTTGTTAACATATAAGGGTCCTAGAATTCTCTGTTAGATAGTTCCTTTCCTTTCCATGGGAAAATTGCTTGACTAAGAGTCATAAACAAACTTGTCTTTACTAAGCTCCTTTGTAGACCGTCACAGTAACTAGTGGCTGAAGAGATGTGCTGACTCGGCAAAGCAGGAAAAAGTGGCAACCATGGTACTGTACAGAAGCTTGGGGAAATATATAGAAGTTTGTTGGGCCATAACAATAAATTTCCCTTACGTTCCCGGACCCCATTCCCAAAAGGGATTCGAATATTCACGAGAGTGCCCGAGTTTTCGAACCACTTTAAACAAACGTGGACATAAAGGATACCTTGCCGGACGCATGACCAAGAGCTAGAGTACCACTTCTAAATGCCAAGCATAAGGGCCGATAGTTAGGGGGTAGCCATAATTAGACTTCATCAGAGCCCACGAAAGCCCAAGCCCAACCCAACCCAGCCCACAAATGGGCTGGGCTTTGGGCCAGGTTTTAGGGCCCATAATGGGCTATGGGCTGAGCCCAGGGGCCCACGGCCATTAGATGGGGCCCAAATGGGCCCCCAAACTAGGCTAAACAGTGCAAACATGCTCCGATCTCATGACTGCATAATTTATGCATTTTTTAGCTGTAATATTGAGTATTTCTCTTACATTATTTCTCTTGAAAAGCAATCATTGACTCGTTGTAATGTCTACTTCGCCTGGTTATATCTTATATTCTTACTTGCTGAAGCGGTCAGCGTGCAAAGATTAGTTATTAAGATACTATTTAAAAAGCAGTAATTCAATATATTAATGATACTCAAACTCATCATTCTCCCTATTCTTCCTCTTTCTGAATCTTCCTGAAGCTCGTGTTTGTGTGATATTCTCTGATAACTCAGGCTCTGTATGGCTCTGTATCACTGCTACTTCTTCATCTTCTTGCTCCTCAGTGTCACTAATCGGCCCTATCTCAACCTCCTCTAAATTCTCATCCTTCTCTTCCTTTGCTGCCTCGATCTCGTAGATAGAGAAGAATTCTTTGAGAAATTCTGCCTCTTGGTCTTCGAGATCAAATCTTGATGTACAAAGAAACATCATAATCTCCTCAATTGTCTCAGACTTCATCCGACCGCGGCGGTAATGACAGATATCTCGAGCAGTATTGAAAAGTCGTTCAACACCAGCACCTGTTGCTGGAATAGAGAGAATATCCCGTGCAAGGACTGCAATAGCTGGAAATCGATATTCATTATCTCTCCAGAATTGAAGGGGCTCCATATCAATAGTGTCTTCAAGGATATTAGTATATGATTAAGAAAAATAACGTGTTTAACATACCACTATTAAGATATTGAGTCATTTCATCCCTCACTGGCTTTGGCTGTGGTTTGTGCTCATTCAACATCTTTTTAAGCCTTGAGCTTGGTCTGGCTGTGGTAAGGGGAGTAACAAAGCCTTGAATAGTAGAGAGACGTTCTTGATAAGGAATCAGAGCTTCTTGGAAAGATATCCGGTAAAGTTCACGCCATTGTTTATCCCAGTCATCAGATAGGAAGAATTGGAACTTGTTATCAGGGGCAAGCATTGTGCTAATCGCATAGATATGTGGTTTAACTCTATCTGTCTGCGAGTAGTACTCATCAAGCTTTGATCGACCAGCTTCAAGAGAATCAAGCATCTGTTTTTTCCATGGAACACACTTCCGCCGGAGCTGCTTCATTAGTTTTTCAAGATGCTCAAAGAGCGCATTATAGATCTTGAAGACGAGATGTATTGTAATCTCTTGAGTTTTTGATAGCTCAGTTGTATAGAGAAAGAACGGCTCAATAATATAGAGAAGATAGTCGATTTGGCGCCACTCCTCATTATTTGGTACCATCTCTTCGCAATCATAGTCCGCACAAAATTGTGTAAAGATATCGCGGAATCGTTTCGCGCGACGGAGTATGAGAAAGGTTGAATTCCATCGAGTTCTTACATCTTGGATTGATGAAAGCTTGAGACCGTCTGTTTGAAAACTGTTGAATGCCTTCCGGCGTGAAGGGCTTCCGTGGATATAAATTGCCAGAGAGCGGACCTTGTTCAAGGTATAAGAGACCTCATGCTTCTGGTGCTGTGTATTTGCCTTGATTGAAGATGACAGCCGATCAGTCCACTTTGTTTCTGTAATATTGTTTTGTGGAACTGCTCTGAGACGGTCAAGAAGCTGGTTCAGACTAAGTTGGATAACATGAGCAAGACAAGGAGTTCGGATAATATTAACATCATTAGATAAAGCCTGTTGGAGGGAATCAGCCAGTGTTTTGTTATTTGATGCATTATCACTGGTTAATTCAAAGACCTGATCTTGAATCTGATGACTATTCAGTGTTTCAAGAACAACACTGCTCATATTTAAACCAGTATGTGCTCCATGAAGAGGTTTAAAGCCAAGAAGTACTTCCCGATATACCCAATCAGCATCAATAAAGTAGCCAGTTATAGCTAGAAATGCCTGGGAAAATGGAGATGTCCAACTGTTAAGCGCAATTGATATCTTTGAACCTGAAGGAAGCATCCTAAGGACCCTTTGTTGCCGGTCTTTGACTAGCACTTCTAGCCGACGACGGATCGTCATTGCAGATGGGATTTGTGGCATATTGGGTGCATTGTGGGCCATCTTAATCAAGCTTATAAATGTTGGATGCTCGATTAGATAAAAGGGAAGCCGATTAATTGTAAGAAATGATAA